TTCAAACTTGGATCACAAGTTAAAATAAGTATATGGTGTGCAAGTTTGCATCTTGTAGTAGTTCTGTACAACTGCAGCATCAAATGTCTGCATATTTTGGCATAGCTAACAATAGCCTGTCTGAATTGGATCCATATGACAGGGTGCAAAATATCCTCACATAACATCTGTTTGTACTATGACTCGGCTTTGAACAATTGTCATTTCTTTGTCTATCTAAGTAATCAGTTCTAAATTGTATAATGAAGCCATCAAGCCCTGTCAAGTCCTCTCTTGCAACTTTGCTCACATTTTCCTTCCTTCCTAGGGTCCCTCCCACATTGTTAAACATCACGGCTAAAACTAGACCATTATTACATTCTCTTAACTCTGCCTACATCAAGCATCTCCCACAGCCAGTGTTGCCCAAACAGCACTCCTTGCGCACTCTGTTCCTTTATTTGAAACAAGGCCCAAAACAAAACTACCCTGTAGTGGTTACCTGTCTGCCAGAGAAAAAGCCAAATGGTTTGGCCTCACATCTAAGGCCTTGCATAACCTGTGTCCAATCTAGCATTGCCACGGTAACTGCCCTATTCACCAACTTCTCCGAGCCCTCAATATACACGTGCACACCCACTCTTTTCTGCTTCTAGGGCTTCACACAGACTCTTCCCCTTCTGCTTGCCCTCAGCACTGCCCTCTTTTACTATTCAAGCACAACTTGATTTTCAAAGCCAAATCCAGCATTTTCTTTCATTGTCTATGGAAGGCAGAGATGTTCTTTTTGGCCTCACAGGACAAACTCGTGCTTTACAAAAACCCACTGAGTATTCCTTGATGTGTCACACTGTGAGCTAGTTTAGTCCATCTGTATCACTAGACTGTATACACGTTACAAACCATCTGCTACTTCTTTATCCTTTGGTTATTATGTGCAGAGCAGATAATTAGTATTTATTTGTTTTGTTTTGTTTTGTTTTTTGGTACCGGGGATCGAACTCGAGTCCTTGCGCTTGCGCAGCAGGCGGCGGAACCACCGAGCTAAATCCCCGGCCCAATTAGTATTTATCTGAATAAGGATATTATTTATTCACCCATTCAAGATATGCTTATTGAATACCTCATATCTTATAGGCACTAGGAAAATATGAATTAATAATCATACCAATAAGAATTCCTGTCTTCGTGGAATTTACACTCTAGTAGAAGAAAACCAGATTTTTCTAAAAAAATAAGTGATATATAATATTAGAAGGTACTAAGTGCTATTGGAGAAAATTAAAGCTGGGAAAGAAAATTAGAAGTCTACAGTGGGGAGTGTGATTTAAATAAAATGAGCACAAAGGGCCTCACTGAGAGAATGATACTTGAGCAATGACTGAATGAGATGAGGGAACAAGGTATGCAGACATCTAGGACATTCTAGGTACAGGAAGAGCAAGTGCGGCAAGATCCTGAGGCTAGAATGTGTCTAGTGTATTCAGAAAAGAACAAAGAGGACAGTATGGGGGGAAGAGGGAAGAGCAGGAAGACAAGCGGACAGCTTTAGTGGGGAAAGCACAGAGAACGGTGAAGGGACTTTGGTTATTATCAGTAGTGCCATGAAGTGAGGGATGACCCATCTGATCTGAATTTGATTAATTTAAATGATCACTGACAATAGGCAGAAGAGGGCAAAGAAAGAAGCAAGAAGACCAGTAAAAGAGGAAATATAATTTTTTAAAAATTCTCCCTTTTATTCCTTTCTTTTTTTTTTTTTTGTACTGGGGATCGAACTTGTGTCCTTGCGCTTGCACAGCAGATGCCAAAATCACTGAGCTAAATCCCCAGCTCTAGGAAATAAAATTAATTGGGTGAGACAATGGGGTTTTGGAAAGGTGGAAAGAAGCAGCTCAATTCTGGACATAATTTTAAGGTGCATCTGCTAGGATTTGCTAATGGATTAAATATGGGGTATGTCTTAGTTACTTTTCTTGTGGCTGAGATGAAATACCCAACACCCACAAGCTTAGGGAGGAAAGGTTTATTTAGCTCATAGTTTGTAGAGGTTTCAGTTCCAAAGCAAAGTGGGCATTGCAGAGGAGAAGCAGTTCACGGCAGGCAAAAGACAATAAAAGCAAGCAAGTGACCAGCAACAAGCCTCTTTCTCCTTCCTTTAGGGTAGGTACCACTTACACCACTAATTCTAGCATACTAAACCTATCATTGCACCATGAATCAATCCCAGGATCACACACTCTAGATTCAGCCACCTCTGAAAAAGCCCTACCTATGACTGCACAAGGCCTGGGGGACATCTAAACAAAAGCCATAACAGGGTATAAGGGAAGAGGAATCAAGGATAACTTCAAGGGTGGATGGGGATGCCATTTACAGGAACAGGGATAAGCTTGGGAGAAACAGTTTTCAGGAGTAGGAAACATTTCAGATACTGGAGATGTTAAGTTAGAGTAACAAATGGGAAGATTAAGTAAGCAGTTAAAGTAGGGGTCTAGAGTTCAGGGGAGAAGACAGAACTGAAAATAAAATTCGAGGAGTTGTCAGTTACAGATAGTATTTAAAGCTATGGGAACTGATAAAAGCAAGAGAGTGAGTATATACAAAGACACCCAAGGACTTGGGAACCAGCAAAGGAGACTGAGAAGGAACAGCCAGTGAGGTGAGAAGAAAATGATGCTGCCGACATGTTGAAAACAGACTGGCAGCATGAGATAGCAATTCATGTCTGTGGTATACCTGCCACTGATTTAACTGAGATTGGGCAGACTAAGGGAGGGAATTCATTTCCTCACTTGAACAGCATCTATGATGAGGTAAATGTTAGGCAGAGGCTACTAAGATAAACAGGTAGTTTTCCAGAAAAGTAAAATTAATATGGAGTAAGTTGTTTTCTACTTCTAAAAAATGGTGTTATAATCAAGTTAGAGGAGGGTTTTTCATAATCATGGCACTACTGACATAACGGGCCAGATAATTTGCTATTGTAGAGGCTGGGCTGTGCCAATTATAGGACATTTAGCAGCATCCCTGGTCTCTCCCCACTAGAAGCCAGTGGTACACAGCCTCACTTCCCCATCATGAAAAACCAAAAATGTCTCCAGAAGTTGTCAAATGTCTCTAAGGGAACAAAATTATCTGAGACAGGACAAGCTGTCAATAAAAATCAACTCCTCAGTATACTTTAAGCATCCCTGCTGCCTAATACATCCATTCATTTCTAAAGATATCTTGTGCTCACACTTGCCCTACTCTTTTCTCCAGGGGTACAGCCACCTGATTTGTCTTCACTCAGAGAAAAGAAAGTTAGCAATGAGCTCAACCTGTCATTAAAGATGCACTTTTGAGCGAGGTGTGGTGGCATAACTATGATCCCAGGACTTGGGAGGCTGAGGCAGGATGATTATGAGGCCAGCCTGGGGTAAGTGGCAAGTTCAAGACCACCCTGGACTACACAGCAAGACCCTGTCTCAATATAAATGAAAATAAATAAATAAAAATCTAAAATATTAAACAACACAGGGCTGGGATTTAGCTCAGTGGTTCCACCGCCTGCCTTGCAAGTGGAAGGACCCGAGTTCAATCCCAGGTACCAAAAAAATAAATAAATAAAAATAAAATATTAAACAAAACAAATATAGTTCTCACACATCTCATTTTTTCAATGTAAAAGACAGTTCTCATGTCTACTCAGGAAATGACGATTTCTGCACACTCATGTTCATAGTTGCATTATCTGCAATAGGCAACAGGGAGATGCAACCCAAGTGTCCACCAGATGAATGGATAAACAAAATGCAGTATGTACACGCAACAGAATATTACCCAGACTTAAAAAAGGAAGTCCTGATACATACCGACTTCAACATGGATAAGCCTTGAAGACATTAAATTAACCAAGACAAACTAGTCACTAAAGAACAAATACCATATGCTTTTATGAGATACACAGAGCAGTTAAATTCATAAGACTGAAAGTAAATGGTGGTTACCAGGGGATGGGAGGAGAAGGAAACAACAGTTTTTGTTTAATGGGTACTGAGTTTCAGTTTTGCTAGATGAAAGAATTCTGGACACTGGTTGCCCAACAATATGAATGTACTTAAATTAACATTACTGAATTATATACTCAAAAGCGGTTAAAATGATAAAGTATATGTTATGTGGTTTTTACCAAAATTTTAAAAAAGGAGTGTCAGCTCTGGGGTTAAATCATCTAGATTCAAATACTGGCAGAATGCCAGTATTCACAGTAAGTGAATGGTTCACAGTAAGTGAATGTCAGTAGCTAATTCTAAACAAACATATTAACTAGAATTATACCAAGTCACACTGCATATTTGTCAGGAGCTACATGTGCCTTTTGGATTGGTGAAATGAGAAGGTAATTAAAAGTGATCATTTCTGATAACAAAATCATTTTACTAACTGAATAACCTTAAGTACAAAATAAGGTTACTCTCTTTCCCCCTCAAAATTAGGTTCATTCCTGTGGATTTCTCAAGTTCCTTACATAAGAGTCCCAGACTCTTTTTTGCATTCATTTTTCAAATCTTAAAAAAAACTTTAAGCATTCAAATGTATTTGTGTGAATGTAAACATATACATTTTCCCTTAAATTATCAACAACCCATTCTATACATGCACCTATTTATAAAGATCTTTCATCACTGACTTCAATAATTACTTGGAGAGTACTACACTGACTGTAGTTTTGACTCATTTATTTCCTTCCTAACATGCTTGTTCAAAATGGTGCCTAATTTTAATAGCTGCATCAGTGCTAAGGAGAGATAAAAGAAAGAAATAAAATGAAACAGAAAGTTAAAGCAACAGAAAATAAGAGAGAACCCACCTGTGCACTTTTGGTGACAAGCAAGAAGTAGAAGAGATTACATTCTCAGCTATCCAGGACAAGCTCACCAATCATTAGGATAAAAATGGGTACTCAGGCAGCAACAATCAAATCCAAAGGACAACACAAGCCCCCAGAGCAGGTAGGATTCTATGAACTGTCTAACCTGCATAGGATTAATCTTCACAGAGCGTTCAAAGCACTCCACACATTCTTTAAACTCCTTGTTCCGAAGATGAAGGAGGGCTTTGGAGCGCTGGGCCCGAGCACTGCGGTGCTGGGACAGCTCCCAGGCCTTGTCATAGCAGGAGTGATCTCGAAGGACATCTCCAAGCAAGCAGTATAAACTTGGTGTTTCTTTTTTCTCCAGCTCTTGCCTAAGGATTTCTTCTGCCTAGAAACAACAACAGAAATAATAAAAGTGCTTAATTGTGACCAACTGCTACTTTTTATCATGTAGATATAGCTGATCCAAATTTTTATTTTTGACATTTGTGATTACTTGCTTATTTCATGCAGCTAGGACACAGGTTGCATGAGAGGGCCAACATATAATAAATATGGTATATCTAAAAGATGGAAGCAAAGAGGAAGAGGTAAATCCTGCTTTACTGGTCTTCTGGAACCCCAAGGAAAGGATCCGGGGCAAACCCATGCAGCTCCTTGGCTCTCTGTTCTTGTGGTCACCATTGTGACCATGTGTTTAGAACAGTGCCTTTAATTCACCTCTACCGAAAAGCATTTCCCTTCCCTTCCCTTCCCTTCCCTCCCCTGCCCTCCCCTCCCCTGCCCTTCCCTCCCCCCCTCCACCCTTCCCTATTTGCAAAGACTTTGTTTCC